CATTGGAAGATTGTGTAATGAATTACTTGCTAGTAAAGGAACTATGCGATTCATTATTCAGACTCAATAATAAATCACTGAATCAGTAATATTAATACACAATAAATTAAGTTTTGAAGCTCTATGATGAGAGAGAATCCTTGACTCAATGATTTAGCTGTGACAAAACGTACTGGCACATTTATAATAATACAATAAAAAAAATATTTTTATCCATTGTTGCAGGTATATTGCACTGCAATAGTTTTAAAAAAATAATAAATTAAATAAATAAAATAAAATGTGTAAGATAGAGGTTGAGAATAAGTAAATAAAAATACTTACGATTTAATAAAGAACAAGTGGTCTCGCTGATTGAGTAAGGGGGCTGCGAATATAGAGATGTCGAATTGAAATCATCTTTAAACTTTGTTTAGGTCTGGTTGTTTTCCATGGAGTTCATCGGTCGATCGGCGAGATGATTTGCCTCCGAAACTTAATTTGAGTGAAACCTCGAATTAATTTCTCTTCCAAAACCCGATGTGCCCGTGATAGTTGTTTTCTTTTAGTAAAACTTTTGTTTTGGATTCTAGATAGAATCTATTTTTTGATTTTTAATCGCAAAGCGTTACATTACCAATTGAAATCGATATAAAATTTTCAAAGAAAATCCACTATATTTTGGAAAAATTTACTGATTTTCGAATAAATCTGAAACAAATTTTTATGCAAACGCTAACAGTAATTTATTCAGTAATTTACTATCAGAAATAAGTCTTCAGTAATTATCTAATAATTCTCACCACGGGAGACTTCGACGTTGTACCAATTGATTTGGACGAAATTTATAGGATTGATAGATGACTTTGTGGAATATTGCAGGGTAAAGTAATAATATGCACTACTCAAGCATTTGCGAGAAAATTGAATTTATAAATTTTGAGTTACCTTATAAAGATATTAAATAGATCGCTTAATAGAAGATCGCGTAGCGTAGCGGTAGCGTACTTGGTTAGTAATGTCGACGCTGCTGGTTTGAATCTTGATATACTTTTTTTTCTCTTCAAAATTCTACAATATAATTTAAATGTAAGTATTTTGTTTATTCTAAACGTAACGTTTTTTTTATTTATTGCATGTTATAATAGTGCATTTTTAGCATAAAAATTCTGTGACTTATAAAATACGGTAAAAATAAATAGATTAGTACTAATTACTATTTGTGTTCATAAAAAGCGGATAATTAGTTGTATGCAACATGTAAAACTATACGCAACATGTTTTATTTATTGGAACTAGATGAGACAATACATAATGCAGGATGATATTTGTCATAAAAACAATTGAAAGAATAATTTTCACGACAGTATGCACATCGTATGAACGCTGCAGTTTTACATTCACATGGTTTTTTCTTTAAAATATCTATTCAAAAACATACTTCGTTGACATTTATAAATATCTTTTTCTCGTTTGTTAATTTAAAAGCATTCCTTACAAAAAGGAAATACTGGCAGTAGGTAATATATTGCGGCAGTGGTACAAAAAAATTACTGGCATTCTGTGTAATTGCAAGTAATATTCTCAGTGATTCCTGTAATACTTAATAATATTCTTATGTAATTGTCAATAATATTTATATTATTGACTTTATTTATATGTAATCGGCAGTAGTAAGTATTCGTAAGGGTAGAATTGTATATTTACAGTTACAATAAATGTCAAATAATCATCTTGCATCAATCAGTTTGGAAGGTTTACTAACCAGATTTTATTAAAAATCTTTTTACTACTACAAATTTTTCACCAATTCTCGCTGTCAACACTTTTCTTGCATCTCGATTAAATGATTATGTCGTGTCTCTACTTTCGTCATGCTAATCGACAAAGTCGTACAACATATTTTTCAGAGAAAGGCTACCAAAAACTATAACGCTCGAAATAAACGTGACATCAAGCCAGTCACCGAAAACTTTTGCGTAAAACGGAAAAAATAAAATCTGGATTATAGCGATTTTGAATGCAGTTCCGAATTCCGCATATTTATCTAGTTAATAAATTCTATACATTTCTATCAATGGAATATCTGCCTATTTACAATATTTCATACAAAGTTTTGTAAATGAAAAACATTATTTCAAATGTTAGATTTCAAAGAAAACTATCTAATTATAAAATAAAACAGTCTGTATGTGAAATTATATTCTTATATTTAACCGTGAAACAAATATATATGAAACCATTACTTCTATCATCATACACGTACATAAAAGAGAACAAAAATAAGGTCGTTTTCTCAAACACAGATGTTTACTTTCTGGCACGTAGATATTGTTCCACTGAAACGATCGTTTCTTAGTTCTCGAGAATATCTCGAAGAGGTAAGATCTCGAAAACGTTACAAGGTTGATCTCGTTGTACTAGAAGTTCGTAATAATATTTCTTGCAAGATTTCTATCCTAATGCATTGGATATCAGTGTATAGAAGATGGTAAGTTCTTACTCCTATGTTTTCTTATATTTGTTGAAGATTTACAATTGTTATAAAATATAACGTTTCTAACCGTATGCAAATATTTGACAGTCACTATCGAACCATAAGTTTATTATGCAATGCAAAACGCGCTCAAAACTAATTAAGGTAGTTCTACCACGTAGGGCCAGATTTTGTGAGTGCTTAAAGCAATTTATTAAAAGTTACAAGAAAAAACTCGTACTATGCATAACTAAAAATATAATTATTGATGAAATAAAGTAAACTATTTTACATCACATTGAGTATAATTGCGGCGTTGCCACACATGGCGGCTATACTACGTATACAGGTTAAAATTTTGACATTTATCAGTTTAGATCAATTTATTAAATCAAAATGGTCGTTAACATTGTTATTTTTTTCAATGTCTTCTTAGTAGATAGTTTGAAAATATATTTGGTAGTTTTTGGAAAAGATCTCAAGTTTACCCGAGCAAAAATGGATTAGATCTAATTTAAATGTAACTAAATAAAAAAATGGAAAAATAAATCCAATTAGATTCAAATTAAATCTAAATAGATACAAAGTAAATCTAAATAAATATAAAGTACATTTAAATAACTGTAAGTCGATCTATGGAAATTTACACTTTTATTTATTATTAGATCTACTCTCGATCTATTCAGATCTATTATATTAGATCACCTCAATACAAACACACAAAAAATTTACGTATACTACATATGTCAATGTTTTATATCTTTATTCAACTTAATACGTTTCATTAAAGTGGTCGTTAATTAACTGTTTTTTTGTTTTAAAAAATTGAAGATTGGTATAAACAATATTATATAAAAACTTAGAATTTATGTCAGAACTTTAGTCTCGAGATAGAACTACCTTAAACAGGTTTCTCGAATTTAGTTTTGTTGAAAAATGTCAAATATTGTCGAACACATGGAGTATAAAAACTAAACAAAAACTGTACTTTGTTTTCTTATTCGTCTCTTCGTATGTCGAATTGCTAAAACCACTTCCGTGATAATATGTGTTGTGATGTGTGTGCGTGATAGAAATAAAAAACATCTCTTCTGATAAACATACTCATAATGGTCACACATCTGTGATTGCTGTTTGTGCATTTAATATTGCAAACGTTCGTTGTTTAATACTATTTTGCGTATTACTTTTGTTTTAATGTGTGTCTGTATTTCTTGTTTAACAAACAAAATAATTTTGTAGGCACGCATTACGCAAATGCTTATATTCTTCGGAACAATATGCTCAATATCTGTTATCGGAATAGCTTCTTCTATTGATAATAATTTGTCTCGGACATCGCAGTGTGTACACCCGATAAATTATACTATGTTCTTAGAAATACAAGACACTACTCTTTTTGTTAATTCCACTGTTGTACTAAATGTGTCATGCGACCAGCAATACATCAAATTACAAATTGGACGTTATTGTAATATACAAGATTTAAATATTAAAACTGCAAAGCTCTATATNTCTATACCACATTCGGAAGTCACTATATCACAGTCAAATACTACCAAAAATCGATTCAAAAATGTAGATATTAATTTCCCCAAACAACAGTGCAGAGGCCCTGTATGTCGTGCGGGAGGAAAAGCAAAAGTACCTATACAATCTGGAAAATACGTGATAAATTCAATGTATAACTGTACCTTAAAAGAAATTGCGATGTTTTTTACTTACATGAACCAAAGTGTAACAAACGAGTAAGTGTATAAAAATCTATTGCATGCTAACATATTTATAATGCTGCAAACATTATACAATTTCATATTTAAACTACATCTATTTCTACATTATCAAAATATTAGTTACCAGATATTTTTAATTTTAAATATTGCAACAAAAAATGTTTTACTATATATGATACTACTAGGTTTTACCTTATCTAATACAATTCTTAAATCTATTCTATACTTTATATACTAATATAATATAAAGACATTTACTAAATACATTTAATAATACTATACATTTTTGTACACACCGTTGGTATTTACTAAATAGAATTGTATTCTTTTAGTACTACATTTGTTTTCTTTATTTTTGTAAAAATGACTCTTATATTTTTAATGAGAAGTTATTATTTTGTATTACCGTATTATTGTGGTTTTGTTATATCTGATATTGTTTTTATTAGATTTCTGTTTTTATCGCGTATTCCTACTGAATGGATATTTCCATATTGGGAAAATCCAGCTACCAAAGCTAGATTTACCATTCGAATTAAACATACGAACACAGGTACAGCTCTAATAAATATACCCGAAACGTTTGAAACTACGCTTTATAAAATATTTGATACCACATCTTTAATATCCCCGCATTTGGTTGCATTAATTGTGATACCAAATGTATATAAGAGAACTACCTTAAGAACCGATAACGTTATTATTGAAAGCGACTTAAAAGATAGCACATTCTATGCACGAACTCTTATACTTGATATCGTCAGACGTCTCAAACGCATGTGGTATAATATTATACCACAGTCATATGTTCATTACTTACTACTTCCAATAACTGTAACTCATTACAAAAATATAGTAATTCCTAGGATGGTTTTCTTGAGGTAAGATGCATAACTCAATACAAAAACGAGTTTCTACACTATAACTCTGTACACACTGAAAGAAATGTACTGACAGTAACAATTATTTTTATTTTTAGTGAAGGTACCATTATATACGACAGAAAAGTAGATTCCATTATAAAAAACAGAAAAGCAACATGTTCCGTAGCACGTAGTGTGATACAAGAAATGTTTAGTGATTGGTTAGTTCCGTTTAGACAGTCTGATCTTTGGTTTATTGAAGGATTTTCAACAGTATACGGAGTTTATATTCGCGATCAGGTTAGATTATTCTTGTGCAGTATTTATTTAAACATTTTTACATAAATAGGATAGTTAAAAACCAGTGTTATTTTTAGAAATAATGTGGACCGTTTACATTGATATTACTATATTCATCTTTTAGTTTTTTTAAAATGATACGCAGTATGACATATTAGTATTTAAGTATGAAAACATATATATAATGTTTGTGTGAAGAGAATAATTTACATACTTTCTTCCTCATTTTGCTACTAAATTTCCTGCGTTTTTATTTAACTTTTTAATCAAGAATATCATCAATTTACTAATATAGCTCTTCGTGATATTCTTAATTAAAAAGATAAGTGAAAATACAGGAAATTTATTACACTACTACATTACTTACATACTATCTGAGATGCTTACATATGTGCTCATCATCAAAAGTTAATTTACCTTATTCTGTCTTCTTGATAGTATTACAATACAACTTTACTAAAGTCAATTGTGGTCCAAACACGACGGATATTTCTTGATTATATAGAAGCAATTACATATGAATCTCCATTTTCACAAAATTCACTCATATCACACAATTCAACTCTTACTAATCTGTGGCGAGAAAAAGGTAAAGAACCAGAAATTTATCGAGTACTCTTATTTTTTAACTCAACGTTTACATACTGATATGCCAAGAAGTATCAGATCTTACTCTATATCTTTCAAAAATAATGTAAATATCCTAAAAATATTGTAAAAATTTGCAGCTACACATTATCTTTATTATGTTTATTGTAAGTGAACACTTTTGGAGTTTGGTCGTAGTTTGCTTTTTATAACGTCTGAAACATGTGTCGTTTTATTGCGACAGACTTTATAATTGTTAATACAAAAGAAACCTGTGTTAATTGTACTTAAAACTTTGGGCCTTACTTTTAATGGAACCTTGTACTTTTATATCTTATGTAGTTTGAAATATGATACAATCCAAATCGATTAACAATTTTCAAACTAACAAATGTAATACGTGATATAATATTTCTGGTACTTTTATATGTAACCAAACAATAATAATTTATAAATATCGGTAATTGTATTTGTACTTGTAGTACAATCCAGAGAAAATTACTCTTATCGAATGCTTGATGATATTGGGTGATTATGTAGATCAAACAAAAAAAGTAATACTAAAGTGTTACTGTAATTCCAGTAAACACAAAGTAAAATGTAACGTAACATTAATGGTATAATTTTACACTCACTAATATAACTGCTACGTACAAAGCGTGTAACATCACAATTACATTGTTAAGTAAGAAATTATAACAATTATTACCTTACTGTTATTTTGTGTTTAATGCGAATTATACAAACAGATGAAAAACATACAACCTAACATTATGAAATATATATAAATAACAATATTAAATTTAAATTGTTATGTGTGTTAGAGTTAAATAATCTTCAATTTGTAAACGTATTATTTATTATAATTATTTTATTACATCAAATTTCAAAACTTCAACATTATGAATTATGTTGTAGCATTCAGTACTTTATATATGCTGAATACCGTCTTTCAACAAGATTTTCTATATACTTCTATATTTCAAGAAGCCGTACACTTATATTATTACAGGTGAGTATATATAAATCATTGGAG